TTTTTTCTAATTCGTTAATAGCCTCCTTACTAGAAGGGCCAGTTAGAATTTTCAGGACAAAGGACAGTGGGGTGCTGAATCCACAACCCTTCATTCTCATCGCCCTCACCCCCAAAGTCTGCTTTCAAGCCATTGTGTCCTCCCGCGAATGCTCTGGAAACCCTTTTTCAGGAAATCCCTGTTGTCCCACCTCCCTCCCGCGCAAGGAAGCGCCTGGCGACAATCAGGACACCCACGGAGGGCTCCTCCCCGCGCGTCCCCCTAGGATCTGAGAAGACCAAGACCTAGAACGCAAGGGGGTCGTCCTAAGAGCTAGGGAAGCGATCTTTACCTTGACGAAGAGGGTGATGTCGTGCTCCTGCCCCGGGGCGCGCTCCTCGGACGCCTCTCTGTCCTCCCGGCTGCCGTTTACGCGCTCCGCCATGTGGTTGCTGAGCTGGGCCTGGGACTCCGCGGCTCCCCTGGAGGCCTCCCCATCTGGGCAGCAGTCGCGGGATTCCTCCTCGCCCCCCGCTGAGGCCTCCTCGCTGGGCCCCTCCGGGCTCCGCTCTCGCCTCTCCTCTTCCTCCCCCAACTCCAGCTGCGGCACATCCCCGACCCCGTCCTCGCCAGCGTCTGCCCTGGCGTCCCCGGGGGCCGCTTTCTGGGACCCCTTTTCCCCTGGGGCCTCCGCCTCCTCCGCCGCGTCCGCAGCGAGCTCCCCCAGGCTGTGCCCCGCGCTCTCGCCCTCTGCGACCTCAATCGCCTCGGCCTGGGGCGGGAGGCTGCGGTTCCCTCCCTCCTGCGGCTCACTCGAGACCTGGCGTGCCCCTCCTGCTGGACCCTCGGCGTCCATGCTGTCCGCCGCCGGGCTCTCCGCGCCTACGCTGTCCCCCGCCCGACCCTCTGCGTCTACGCTGTCCCCCGCCGGGCCCTCCAAGTCTACGCTGTCCCCCGCCGGGCCCTCCAGGTCTATGCTGTCCCCCGCCCGAACCTCCTCGTCTACGCTGTCCCCCGCCGGGCCCTCCGCGTCTACGCTGTCCCCCGCCGGGCCCTCCAAGTCTACGCTGTCCCCCGCCGGGCCCTCCAAGTCTACGCTGTCCCTCGCCGGACCCCCCACTTCTACGCTGTCCCCTGCCGGACCCTCCGCGTCTACCCTGTCCCCCGCCCGACTCTCCGCTTCTACGCTGTTCCCCGCCGGGCGCTCCGCGTCTCTTGTGTCCCCCGCAGGGCCCTCAGCGTCTACGCTGTCCCCCGAAGCCCCGCGCGCACTGCCTTCCGACGCCTCGGGCCGGTGCTCCGCCTCCTCCTGCCTTTTGGTGACCGCAGAGTCTCCGGGCGCCCCCTGAGCCTCCCCCGGGTCCTCGCCCTGCGCGTCGCGCCCCGGGCTCGCCCCCTCCACCTCCAGCGCGCCGCTCGCCTCCTCCCCTTCCTGGGGCACCTCGGCGCCCTCCAGGGCTCCCTCCTCCGCCTCCGCCTCTCCCTGCGCCCCTCTCGTGCCGTGCGCCTCAGCCTCCTGGACTCTGTCCGGCCCGCCGCCTCCCACCTCCTTCACCGCGGCGGCGCCCCTAGTCACCTCCTCTGCGCCCCTCGTCGCCTCCTCTGCGCCCTCGCTCGCCTCCCGCTCCTCTGCCCCCAGGCCCGTGGCTCCCGGCTCTCTGGATCTCTCAGCCAGGGGCGCGGGGCTCTCTGGCGGCCCCTGGGGACCCGGGACACCCGCCTCAGGCTCTGCGGCCTCGGCCATGACCGCAGATCCTTGTCCTTGATCGGGACCCCTTCCTTGTCGCTGCCCAGAGGTCAGTGGCGCTGGGCAAGGGGCGTGTTGCGGAACCCTCCGTGTCTCCTCCGAAGGACCCCAGCTCGGGATTCCCGCCGTAAAGATTTAGCCGGGGTGCTGGGGCCTTGCACCGGACCCGCAGGGCAAGAATCCACTTGGTCCCAAGGCTCTGCGCCCCTTCTGCCCGATTGAACCTCTCTGGATTCTTGCTCCACCTCTGGAGCTTCTCCCCGATTGCTTGTCTGCTTCCCTCCCGTACCCTAATCTCACCCCCGAGCCGCAGAGGTGCAGCGTGCGGCTGGAGAGGGCTGTTTTGCTCCTGCACCTTTGGAAGTGTCCGGCCTCTGCCTGGCGTCCTGGGGTTGACCAGAAGTCCTTGGTGCCAACTCCATCCCCTGAGGCTTGGGCGGGGTTTATCTTCCCCTCCTCTCCCCCGCCCCGTGTTTGGGTGGCCTAGGAGCTTGGCCGATGACAGCCTTTCTCGTGACCTTTGTGGATTTTGATAAAAAGATTCTGGTTCTCCTAGCCCCTTGGGTGTTTCCTGGAATGGCTTCAAGTTCCAGAGTCATTTAAATCACCCCCTCCAAACACACACACACACACAAACCCAAACACCTCATCCCCACCTTATCGCAGGAGTGAAGCATCAAGCTACCCTGGTACCCAACTGAAGATATCCACGTTATGCCTGGTGTCCAAGAGCAAGGGTATAAATCCCGGAGAGAAGAAGCAGGGGAGGCCACGATGGCCGCCTTCTCATGTCTGCCGGGCCCTCCGGAGAGGTTCCAGAAGCCCCTCACATAGGCGCACAAGGAGCCAGTTGAGCTTCTCTGAGCAGAGCCGGACACTGGTGTCCATGAGGGGCCCTTCTCCTGACCTGCCTGGAGAATCTTGGGAGTCCTGTGCTGGAAAAGGTTACACCCTCATCCCCAGGGTCTCTTAAGGGTGTAAAAGTCTGTGTATCTTGCTGATTCTCCTAGATTTTTAAACTCACTGCCAGTGCTTCTGCCTCAAAGTGAAGAGCTTGGGGGTCTCGAGGTGGGGAAAAGAAAAGCCAAGATGCTATGGCATTCCCTGGATTAGGGCTCTCTCAGGATCACAGACCCAATACCTTGTTTAAAAAGGAAATTATTATGGTGAAAAGTATGTTGTCAGCTTATTATAAGCCAAGCTACTTCCAGTGGGTCAGCAAGAAACTGGGTTACTCCAGGTGGCACTATGTAAATGTGGTGGAATGGGGATCCCAGCTCAAGACTGACTTGACTTGTCAGGCTCTATATGGCTTTGATACTGGCCTGAGATACATGAGCTCCTTGTGCCCACAGAAGGTTCTCTTTTCATTGAAAGAGCTGGGGGTGTCTTTGATGTGGCTTGGGGTCACACATTTGGACATCACAAGAATGTGTCTTCTAATTCCCATTGCTCATCACTGGTGGATGACAAGACAGGAACCCAGAGACACCCAGCTTCATGCTACCTTTCTCCACAGCTGTGCTCTGTCTGGGTAGGTATAGGCCAGAAGCTTCATCACCACAATGTGGCATCTACTCAAAGCATGACACTCAAAAATGTGAGCTAGAAATGCACCTGAGCTGTAGAAGCTCTAAGTATAGAAAAGGAATCCTGCTGCATTCACCAAGGCAAGATAGCAGCCATCACCCTTACCTCGTAAAGAAAAACGAAGCCAGCACATTCAGCCCCGATCAGCAAACACGGTGCAGGTTTACAATCCTTTATGCAAATCCCATGAGCCCAGACGTATTTCAGAAAACAGAATTGTTAGAAAGATGATTGTCTGATTTTACTGTATATTATATAACACAGCACATCATTTTGTGATAAAACACATTAATATTTCTGCAGTAAGACAGATGAGATATGGTAAAATCACACGTAGTTTCAGGTCTGTCCTCCTCCCCGGGGTTTAGGTTCACCTCCAACTGAATTCAAGCCATTCTGGTTCTGATTTTAGATGAGTTCCCAAAAAAAGCTTTCAGTATTCAGAGCCTTTTAGGATTTCAGAATGTTTATAAAAGGATTGTGGACCTGTGAACCACGGAAGGGCTCTAGGTTTATTTACACTGCTTGGAAAAATGTGAGATTAGTTAGATGCATAACTTTGTACTTAATAACAAACGAACCGTCTTCAACGCTCGACTTCTGCAAAGAACCAAATTAAAGACTTATGTGAGTAATAATATTCCATAAACTTTAACTCAATCAAATTTGATAGAAACGTGCTGGCTATGGGGAGAGGGGGTTGAATTTTTAGAAAAACCTCCTTTTGAATTGAGCCTAAAGATGATCAGCTACTGCTTGCAGACTTGGCACAGTCAGAAACAAAGTTGTTGGCTGCGTGGCTGAGAACTGGCCTGGATAATGTCCTTGTGGAAAAGCAATGCTCATAAAGTCTATTCTGTCCTGGAAACTGATCCTGCGGATCACACAAGGCTATTCGATCTTACAGATTTGGATTTATTATTTTATAGGGTTTGGGGTCATTTACTTACATTGACATTGGCTCTCAAAATAACATCATTCTCTCTGCAGAATGTAGAATCTTTCACTTAATGATAATCTTAATAAGCATTTTTAAATTTCTCTGTTATGTATTTTTGCAAACTTTTTTGATTTTCTGTATTTAAATAAAGTTTATATTTAAATAAATGCAGGCTCAATGCTGAAAATATGGAAGACAGAAAATAACAGCTCTTCACAAATTTTCCGTAACCACATTACCGACAACTAAATATTTTATTTTAAGAGAGAAAGAGATAGATTTTTCTAGACGCTGGTTATATAGCAGTAAATAACATTAGGAAGGTCCCTCTTTAGACAGCCTAGAGCAAAATAAATAAATAAACAAAGAAATAAGATAATTTTGGATAATGTTAAGCTTTATATAGACACATATGCCCATATGTTTACAGACGTGCCCAAACTGAAAACCTTGGCTCCTTTTTTCCACACCCTGCATCCGACCTGCCAGTAAATCCAACTGGCATCACAATTTTAAAATATATATCCAAAGCCAGGCATGGTGGTGCAAGTGTAGTCCTAGCTGCTCGGGAGGCTGAAACAGGAGAATTGCTTGAGCCCAGGAGTTCTAGACCAGCTTGAACGCAGCATAGTGAGACGCCATCACTAAAAATACGCAAACACACACACACACACGTACACACTCACACACATAAAATCCAACCTCTCCTCTCTACCTCCATTACTACAGTGCCAGTCCAAGCCACCATCACCTCCTGTCACCTCGATGATTGCCATCACCTCTGAACTGGTGCCTGGCCTTTGACAGTGTGCTCTCTACTCTGATAGCCAGCTGATCCTCCTTGGAAATCATGAATCAGACTATACCACTTTTATGCTCAAAATCATTCAAAGATTTTCTGTCTCACTCTAAGAAAAAGTCAAATCTTTATGCCTGAAGTATGAGGTTCTACAAAATCAGGCAACTTCAGTCTCTTTCTGGGGTACTAGACTTCTGTGGCCCCTAAAACACCAGCCTGCTTGCTGTTCCTAGAACTTGTTGACCATTCCTGTGCCTAGGATGCCACCTATATTCTCATGGGTTACTCCCTTACCTTGCCACAGTCTCTGATTAACTATTTTCCCCAATAACTATTTTCCCCAAGCACTCCATTGTAAAACACAACCCCATGCTCTATACCTTATTTTCCTCCATAGCAGCTATCTTCATCTGGCACATAATATATTCTAGTTATGATCTGTCTACCCTACCTCACCACACTAGGATGGTGGTTTTGTGAAAGCAGGGGTTTTTGTTTGTCATTGCCGAGGACAGAACAGCACATACTAGAGCTCAATAAATATTTTCAGTATGAGTGAATACCCACATGCCTTCAAATACATGTGGAACAACCTGAACTAGTTTTGGAAAATACCTTTCTCAGTTAGTTTTATACTTTTGGAGGCCGAGCTAATGTCACAAGACACGCTATTCACAGAAATTCTTATCTACTGAGTTTGCTAAAAAAATACTTTAGCAAATTCTTTTAATTATTAGCAAGGGTCTAGTTGGTTCATATAAAGGAATACAAAGGAAATACCAAATAAACAGACTTGTGAAGGTCGCTATGAAGTCACTTCGAGACTTGCACATTGTTAACCTGGCCTCAACACTAGATTAGCTATTTAAATACCAGGGAGGGTTAAACAGAGGTGACAAATTCAGAGATGGATGACAAGAGATGAAGGTGTTGATAATTAAGTAACTTTTAATAATTATAGAGTTCTTCTGCCACACATGATAAGGAATCATGAAGCAGGAAAACTCTGGGATTACAAAGAAATCTTTAAGGGCCTATAAACAATTAAGGGTTTGTTGCTTTTGTTGTTTTTCCGGAAGGAATGGCCTCATTTCCATAGAAATCTGCTCTTTCTCTAGCAGGTATCTGCTCCTTTCAGAAGAGCCCTTGGGATTATAATGCCAGATATTGAAATTGACTTCATCCTTCTATAATGCAGGACATTAATCTAAAATATTTATCCTTTGATTGACCCTTGTCAATATGCCAGCATCCATAGCCCTGAGCACCTATTGACATATAACAGTTTAGATAATTCGATGTCTTACAGGAAACGCTGGAAATAAAAAACAGATAAATAAGGCTAACGAGAAAGGATGTCACTAGAGCATGTCTTGTTCCCATGTATCCAGAAAATATCCCTCATCTGCCAGGAAATAAGTAAGTTGTGAATGGCCAACAGATGCACAACTGGCCATTGTGATACCTTACAATCTTTTGTTTTTACCATTTTACCTGACTACAGGTCCGTGAAAAAAAAATGTGTGCCATATCTCAAAATTAAGTCAGCACCTCTATATGATATAGTCATAAAAATGTGATCTAGAAAGACTATTTCTATACTATTCACAGAATTGAGAGGATCTAACCATCCATTATCCACCCATCCATCCACCCAACCACCCAACCATTCATTCATTATCCATCCACCCATCATCCATCCATACATTCACTTATCCATCCATCCACCCATCCATCCATTTATCATTTCATGAACTTTTTCTGAAATTGACTTCGTCCTTTCTTGCGACACAGATTCAGCTGGTGTTGGAGAAATAAGCATAAACAATCCAAGGTTCCTACCCTGCTGTGTAACTGCAGAATGGAAAAAGCTAACTAAACTGTTGAGTTTCTGGTAGTTTCTTTCTGGTGTCTCATGCCATGTTTGATCAATAGTTTAAATTACAGATTTATTTTACCTTATAGGGTATAGTTAGGGAACAAATATGTCAGAAACACACTTTGTAAAATTATTTTTACTACTCATAATTTGAGCTATATTTCTTAAAAACTTGGAGTCGAGTGTTTGAAATGTGTTTATTT